GTAATTATTATTAATAATAACAATAATAATTAAACTGTCAACGTTCCTGTTTCTTCGGGACATCTTTACTAAATACATTTTGTTTTAGCCCCCCCCCCAATAAAAATGGAACAGACATTGTAGCTGCTTAGTCCTTTATACTCATTTCATTGCTGCCCCTCACCCCTTAAAATATTGTTTAAAGGGACTAGGGATAAGACATGTGAAAGAGTACACAAGCATGTCAAGTTTTTTTTATGCTAATTGGTGATGAAGAGTTAAAAACCAAAATCTGGGGGCCGAACACGGCTTTTCTACGGACTCCCAGTTGGCTGGCTCCATTTTTCACCAGAACAGAAACACAACAGACCCAGAAAAAACAAGCATCCGTCCTTCTTAGCCTGACCATCTACAGAGACCGATATGATACTTAATATTATATTACTGTCCTTTTCTTGATTGTTTAGGTGGAGTTAATGATCATTTACTTAATATTGTCTATATCAGCTAATATAAAGAGTACATTTTGCTGAGAGTAAAAAAAAAACAAATTTAATAGCAGATAACAGATGGATGCTGAATTCAGCATAAAGTTTTATGTCATGAAGGATGCAGATGAGTTTGCTGATGTTTTGTGGCTCTCACAATGCAGTTTTATAAGCATTTAGTGCAGACCATTTAATATATCTAGATATCTAGATATATCTATATCTATCCATCTATATACATCCATATATATATATTTATTTATTTATTAGTCTCAACTCAAACTTGAATTATTTAGATTATTTACATACATTTAGAACAATCAGGGTTGACCAAAGTGCTGTACAGATACTACAGGAAATAAGGTAATAACTAAAAAGCTAAGATACATAAACACAATGCAATACAATAGAAAAATAGAATAAAATAAGTTAAAATTGAAATATATATATATATATTTTTTTTTTGCCAGATGTCCACTTAGACTTGATTAAAAGCCAGGGAGAAGAAGTGTGTTTTAGGGAGGATAGGCACCAAGGCTCTGGAACAACCTGCCCTGCCACATTCAATCTGCATATATANCCGAACCTGTGTAAACGGCTGTTAGAGGCCGAACAGGAGCGGGTTACTCTGACAACATCCGGCCTCCTCCTCAAAAGCAACCAGAGTTTAATCATTTATCCGCCAGCTCTACTCCCTGAAGAACATCTACAGTAAATAAGACTTTAGTTAGTTATCTAGAGTGGAAGTCAGAGCTTTGATTAACCGAATATCAACCAAATCAATAAGGGAAGAGGGCTAGCATTAGCATCCAGAGCTAACTCACTAGGAGGCCGCAGGGAAGCCTGGACCTACCGTAGGCGTAGATCCCGCGGAGCAGGTCCTCCCGGAGCCCCATTGTGTCGAACGTGGGGGTGACGTCCACCTCCTCGCTGGTCTCAAACTCCACCTTGGTCATGTCCTCCTCCTTCAGGAGCCTCTTCCTGCCCTGTGTCCCGACAGAAGCCATCGTTTTCTGGGTTTCCGACCTGATAGATCTAGTTAGAAATACAAACCACCGCGCTGCTCAGATAACCGCTAACACCAACGCACGTGTCGCCGAAATGACGTATCCATACGCGGATGACGTAGGTAGACAATGCTGCGACGCGTCCATACCTCCGCCATATTGGAAAGGGAGCTTTGTTTCCTGACCAAGTGTTTAGGTTCAGTGGATGTGAAAATGTAGGACTGCTGCGCTGATTTCAGGAGCTATGATGAGAACAAATAAGAATAATTCACAAGCAAAACGTTGTAGCTGCAATAATTTTAAACCAAATACTTAATTTTATCCTTCTAATTTGATCCAAATCACCGGCCTTAGATCAATGCACAAGTTTCATCCCTCAGCCAGGTTACATCCAAATAGAAATGTTACTCTATCAGAAAAAGTTAAAAAAAAATAAATAAATAAACAATGCACTGGATTTTGTTTCCCAAGTTTGAAGACAATTTGCTTCCCATCCAGCTTTTTCAATTCAAAATATCAGAACTAAACTTGGAAACTTTAAACTTGGAAAACAAAGTCCAATGGTTTGGTGTTTTTTTTTTTTTTACTTTTTTGGAATGACTATGACCTGGATGACTGAGAATCTTCACGAGCAGATGTTACTCTGATTCTGGGGTTACCTGATCCCTTAGGTATCATGGACACTAAAAACTAGAATCCAATTGGCAAAATAGGAGAACGTCCATTCACAGTTTTTCTGAAATCAAAATACTATAGCAAGATTATTTATTTTATTGTCATAAACATCCGTTAAAAAATTAAAAGGAAGTTTAGCTGACTTGGTTTGAGAAGCAGAACAAGAACACCAACAATCAGGAGAGGCAGTGGGGGAAAAGTAGCCTCGTGAGACCATCCTGATCTCGCAAGCTTTCAAGATTTCACTCGCTAATCAGTCTGGAGACTCTCCGTTGAAGAAAATTTGGAGCCGTTCACCAAACCAACGTCCAATCAGCGTCGGCTTTGAGGCGGGTTGAGGTGTGACGCAACGAGAAGCGCGACAG